ACATAAGTTATAAGCATAAAAACAAAGAAAAAAAAACTGAAAAAAAACTCAGAAAACTTAGAAAAAATAAAGATTTTAGCGCTCCCTGTGAGAAAACCTTAGAAACATTAATCTTACTACTTGCTCCCTAGTTCTATCCCGTTTTGAAACACTCTTCAGAAAGAATGACAACACACAGATATAGTACTAATAAACATGAAGCAAACAGAGAAGACAGACATGGGGGGGACACAAAACAGTCGGGAAGAATAAGCAGCTTGGCATTTTACAAAACAGCTTTTCATCCTGCCTCTTTAGTAACTAGTAAGAGTAACAAAAGCAACAGTGACTTCTTTGGGAAGGGTGGGGCGGCAGGGGGGACAAGACTCTGGGACCTTGAAAAATGCACATAAGGAGACCTTGAGGAAAAGGTCAATAAGGGTATTATCCTCTTTCTTATGGGTAATTAATGGATAATGGCTCCTCTGCTTACTAGTTTAGTTTTGCATATTCTGCATTACAATGCCCAATTTCTCTGCTTTCTGCAAAAATAAACCAATGGTTAAGAAGAAAATCTTTTTTTTTTGTACGGCAGCTTGTTACAGAGCAAGCAAATACCCAACGGGTTACTTTCAAAAAGTCAAAGGGAATTTTGCCTGATGAAAGATTAGAAAACCTGATCCAGAGTTACCACCTCCCACGTCGTGACCAGATGACAGCTTGGCAGCCAGCTACCTGTTATGTGTAACATACTGTAAAGATTGTATTTCCCCTTAGTTCCTTTCAGGTAAGTACCAGAGTCCCAGGTGATGCGTACTTGTGCTACTCATGTGATCTGAGGAGGTTCAGATTTGTACGTTAGCAGAAAAATCATTTCACACTCAATAATTCTTGATACCTTAAGCCTACCATGCTTAGACCCGAACGAGTAGTGGTTCAGTGGTGGCTACCTCCAGAAAAACCCCAAGCAATTAAAAGGTCATTATGGTTGAAAACGTTATAAGCTAATCAGTGGGGTAATCATTCACCAAAAGAATGCTCGCCACTGTTTTCCAGGTGCCTTACACCCGTCATTTCCAAGCACCAAAACCCTTAGAATGCATTCGAAGTACACAAATGCTTTCCTTTCCCACTCACTGTAATTCATTGTTTTTATAGACAAAGTACAGGAAGAGTTTATGCCTAATTTTTTTTTTTTTTTTTGGAAGGGGCACAGTTTTCACATCACCAAGAAAAGAAAATTTTACAGCAGTCAGTTGCTTTTAAATTGTGCCCCAGACTAGTCAGGAAATCAGTCGGCTCCTTTGGCGAAAGCCGATGTTTCAAAGTACGTTAACATGGGTACCTCAACATCCTTGACAGATTTCTCCAGATACTGATCTTGGCCAGCAGTGGGAAGGAACCATCAATATACCTCCAACCCAAGAGCACAAAGGCAACGCTGACTCCATCTAATTTATGTTCTTGGGCTTTGGACCATGCAAAGCCAAAGCAGGTAAGGAGCAGGCAGACAACTTCAGATGAAACCGTATTAAATCACTGTTGAAATAAGGACTCGTTATGCATGGTATTTTAAATATCTTGATGGCCTTTTCCAAGCATCTTGGTGGTCTGAAGAGTCAAAGGTTGTGAGCAAAATAGCTCACAAAGATCTAGGAAGAACTGGCTAGCATAAGCCTGCAACAAAGAAAATAGTTGCTGCCTTCTGCATGCCCAAGTAACTTATTTGTCCATCTTGTATCACATTTTGTTATCTATAATTTAGGAAAAAAATTACAATCTTCAGATTTACCACTGTATGCCAGATAACTATGTACACAGTCTGCACATACTATCAGACTGTTCAATTAGACTTAATCTGTGTTAATTAAGCCTTCCATTTTCCAAGCTGTATTTTAATACATTTGGATCATGAAAACAAAGTCTTTATCATCATTAAGCTGATTCAACACGATAAAATATTAACAAAGATGCATTTATCATCATTGTAGTAGAAATCTCGTGCATCAACTGATGATATAAATTAACAGTAATTGTTGCAAAATATCCATTTAGTATAACAAAACATCATATCTCAATTACTGACTTCAAGAAAAGTTGTGTCCATCTTATTTTAATGCCTTTAGTTTCAGAGTTCCATGCCATTAACAGAAAATAAAATCCTGCTACAGCTTACTAGAGAAATGAAATATAAACCAAGCATTCTATGTCTTACTACTTTATGGCGATCAGCTCCACTACACACATCATGCAAAACTGCCTTTCGAACTAGTTACGCTGTTATGCTGGCATATGTAACTTAGAAAATATATATATATATATATAGACACACACATAAATATGCGCGTGTGTGTGTAAATGTACATATACACACACCTTTTTGTTGCTTGGAATAAAACCTATTTGTCAACTATTAAATCTGTGTGTAACAAAAAAGACGCCTCCCATAAAGATATGAACTCTTATATCAACAGATAACACAGCTTCTTTTATTCAGGTGTTGTTGACCTCCCGCACGTTCTGAAGTCTCGAACTTTTAACTTTGCCACTTTTTGGTATGCTGGTAAGTTAAAAAACATGATTGGCTTTTCCAAAGTCAAAAACTATGATGGTTAGGTAATAAATGTACCCTTTTACTTGTTCCCATAGGTGTTAATCATGCTGAAACATAATGATGTTTCCTACTATTCTCTTTGCATTGTCTGTTTTCATAGACACGTGGAATGTTGAAAAAAGCTTGACAAAAAACCTGGATGTCACCAGAACAGAACCACGATAATTATCAAAAGCTTAGTAGGAGCAACAATCCAGAAAAGGCTTCCCCTGTGTCAAGGGCCTGCACCCACTTCAGTTCACATGCAAAGTTAAAAAGACTAGAGTGACCTGAGCAGGTAGAGCATCAAAAAAATATCAAGCCAAAAGTTTTGCTATTACATTGATCATAACTTAAGCAAGGTCCTCTTCAGTAGTGCCCCAAATCTTTGCGCTCTACTCCTCATCAATGTTAAAAAGTATTTTCTCCACCGTCATCCACTTTATTAATTTCTGTCATCGCAGACCAAAGGGTTTGAAAGCACTACCCTTATCAAGGTCCAAGCAGCAACTTAAGAAACTAGAGAAACAAACAGTGACTCTGTTTTAAGTGATACACAATGAGTCTGGGAAAAGCAGCTAATTGCAGTAATCCATCTGACACTCAGAATGTAACAGCAGCCATTAGCAACACTGCATATGCCTGTTTCTGCTCTTACAGAGCTACACAGCCTGAAACTACCTCAGTTACTACACAGAGCTGCAAAGGTTTAAGTGAGACTAGCACCCAATCTTTCGACTACATATATTTTTAAACACATGTCTATTAATCTGCAATACTAGAGATAACCTCAGTGCCAAGAAGGACATCAGCAGCCTATTTTGTTCAATCAAGATTACCCCTGCCATAGCACATCCCTCTATGAGCCTCCGTCCCTGCCCGTCAAGATAGAGGAGTTAAGCAGCTAAATTCAGAAGGGGCCCTATCTAAAAATCCACGTGCCTTGCATTGTGTAATCATCACTGCCTGCCTAGTTTGACCTTGGATTTTGCCAAGTGCAGGCATGTGTCCCTACATGTGACAGTGTTCCTCTGTCAATGGCTATCCTCAACGTCCTCTTCCTCAAAAAAGAAAAAAAAACAACAACAGCAAAAAAATATCCCTTAACGTGGCAAACTGATCCCGTTAACCATGACTTCAGACAGCTACAATGGCCTGGAAAAGCTTGGAGGAATTAAAAAGCAAATGACAAAAGGAATGATAGAGTGGAAAACAGAGGAAAACAGGAAAAGTTGGAGGGATGGATCCCTGCGTAACGTAAAACAATATTCTTATGTATCGAGGCAACGGCCTGAAAAATGAAGGAAGGAATAAAGTAAAAGACCAATAAGAAAGTAGAAGTGACAGAAAAGTATGGTGACAGAATAAGCAAGTAGCAATATCCTCCCCTTAACTACCCTTGTCCAGACATCTCTGCTGTTGCACTGGCAAAAGCCATCATTGATGATTTGGTCATAATAAAGCCATTGCCTTCTCCCTTCTCAGCAAAAGGTAAGAAATTGGGCTAACAGTTGTGTATCATGTACATGACTAACAAAATTAAATACCAATAGAATTAATTTTTTTTTTCCCCTAAAAGAAATGCTGCAGAATGACTGGTACTAGATTTGAAATGGGAGCAACCAAAGAACGTCCTATACTTGTATTACAACAGAAAGTCAGACTAGATACAAAGGTCCTTTGAGCCCTAAGAAATTATTAAAAAAGCATTCACAAAGTTACAAGTAGGAGACTTTTTGACAAAACACACACTTTCAAACATCAAAACATCACTGGAATTGTATTATGGGCCATAATACAAGGTACGCTTTTTTTAATAAACTGATGTCTGCCACTATCATAGCTAATGAAAGAGACCTCTTTTTTTCCTCCTACACTGACAACAAAAAAAAAAGGGGGGGGGGGTGGAAGACACACACACACGCAGTAAGAGTATACTGTATTTATGCCAGGAAGAAAAAATACACATCACCATACAGAAGCACAAGTAGCTTAATAGCTTAATAGCTTAATTACTGAATCTCAAAAGAGAAAATATATTAAAATATTATAAAACATAGTGAAGCAGGAAACATGTAAGTTTAACCTTTATGAAAAAGCAAACTCCAAAATGCATATGATAAACTAGTAGGGGAAATTGCATTACAAGGTCTGTAACTTCCAAAGTGCATTGTGTCTATACTACATTGGTTTTGATCTTTCCATTCAAGTTAAATTATTTTACGGACCAAGATCGATAAATAATGCATTCCTCCTATAACAAAAAAACAACTAGCAAAAAGTAGCAAATTGCAAACTACGAAGAAAGGCTTTAACTTGCATGTCAGATTTTACACCTACTATTTCAACACATTCTCAAAACGGACCACTGAGCGCTCGGTATCTTTTAAGTTGCTACTGCTGCAAGACAGAAACAATTTCCTCTTACCTGTGCTCTAATTCTCGGATGGACAGTATAACTCCAGAAGTCGATGCCTTCTGTTGCAGTGTGGCCAGAAACGTGAACTCACTTTTATTCCGGAAGAGCTGAATTAACTTCTCGCTCACATGGGGAGCTGCGTGGATTTCTCTTTCTATATCTAAGAATTGTATTTTTAAAAAAAAGAAGAAAAGAGAGAAACAACACTCCGGTAAAAATGCTAAGTCAGAAGGATTCAGACTACATTTTTCATTTTCCCATCAATATTTTTCATTTTTGAGAGTCATCTACCATGCTCCACCACTGCACTTGTTCAATGAAAAAACCCAAGTGCCATCTCTGTCAGCATGCCCACTTGTCACTTTGACAAGTTCACAACTGGTCAGCTACTGATTTTCTGACAGAATTTTTAACAGGATGCTGAGCCATTTGTGTCTGCTGTGAGCAGATTAAGTTGCTGTAAATAAGGTGTGCTGCAGTCAGATAAATAGGCTCCTAAATTCTGAGAAATCTCAGGTACTGCCTCTCCCAACATAATTCACCAAGCTCCAATTTCAGTTTTTACCACTGACTCCGTTACCACCTCTCCATCGTACATCAGAGGAAACCTGTCCTTGCGCCGTGTAAGGCAGAGATGTATTATTGCTAATAATGCTATACGGCTGTGCTTCTGCCTGAGAAATAAATACAAAACACACTCGCAATCCACTATCGTTTCAGGGATTTCTCAGTTTAAACAAGCAAAGTGTGACAGCTCATACAATATTTATTAAACTACAGTCTGACCAGGCAGATGCAGAAATATTTCAGTCTCGCTAATCCTGCTGATGTCCAAGCGGCAGCATGCCTTCTCATACTTGATCTTTTAAGATTCAAATGCGCCATCTCCCACCTCATTCATTTTTATCTCATCCTTTTATTCACAATATATCATCACTCCAAAAGATGATTAATGACAAAAGGAAGAAATCACGGCATTTCACCTTCCCACCCCTTGCCATGTCTCTCACGCTGGGCCTTTGTCACACATTTGCAAGACCTGTGCTACTTGCCGTTCCTGGATGTCACAACCAATTAGAAGCCCGGTGTGCCTCCTTTCGAAAGGTTTACTTTGAAGCCAGAAATGCCAGCACAAATTCTCAGCTGGTAGAAAACCATGTAACTCTACTGAGTCCTGATAATCTCACCCAGCATGAATGCTGTAACACACAAAGGAGTGATGAGATTTACAATTCAGAATTTCACTGCAGAAAAAAAAAACCAAACCCACAACCAACATTGTGTCATTAAATGAGGCTTTGCAGACAGAAAGAGGAGAGACTGGCTTGAAAAACAACCTGAAACTCAGAAATGCAACTACTGAGGGAATGCCATGGACTGAAACTAAACTCCAAGGAAAAAGTATTCAAGCATGTATTGTAATTGGGTGCCCCAATTTTTCCTGTGCAGCTTTAAGCCCTCCAAATGAGCCTACACACTCCGAATGCCTAACACACTTGTACTCTGAAAACCTCACCTCTAAAAAGTACTGCAAATTAGACATCAAAAATCACTAGTCATCATTTAAAAATCTTTGCCAGAGGCTCAAATTCACCCGATAAATAAATACAATGCCCACTTTATAGCATCAAGCTATTTGTCTGTCCAACGCCACTTTTATCATAACAGAGGATAAAGCTTCAAAGAACAGAAACCGCTTCCACTGCCATCAGAAAGGGGAATGGAGGGATAAACAATGCAGCACAGAAGAGCAGATTTTGTCTTTACCTGCAAGATTTCATTATCTGTATCATTATCTTCACCTAGCAGGTGTTATTACTGGTCATAAATACTATCTAGTTTCTTTAAAAAAAGCTGACGCAGGAGACACAAAACTATTTATCCCATATACCAGTAAGCTCTCCAATATCCAGTTTGCTATCTACACAGACAGACAATCCACTGGTACTAAGTTCCAAGGCACAAGTAAGACTCAAGAGATAAAATGTTCAAGAGCTGACAGTTGGAAGATAGTTATCCTTGTTTTGAAGGTTAAGAACCTTAGTATCTTACAAAATTTTGTATTGCCAGAAATAAAATACGACTTATCAAAGCTTTCAAAAATTATTTCACATGAAAGCATAGGCAGTGCTGTGAGTGGAACATATATGTTAAAACTTCAGTCAAGCCTTGCGAAGTCCAGCATTTTCTCATTACGGGGGGACCCAGATATAAAGCCGCATCCTGCCGTCTATCCACCAAAATTTAAACAAAAATATACGATTCTCTAGTTGGAATCATGAATGAATAATCAATGCACTGACTACTCCAGTTAGAAACATAATGTTAAATATTGTGTTATACTCTACCACCTCTCCATAGTCATGAATACAGCAAAAGCATGTGCAATACCTTACATTCATTCTCTGTTGATTAAAATCATTGTATGCATAGATAATGAAATTATGGGGGAAACATAACACCCATTTTTAAAAAGAGAAAAAAGGAAGATCTGGGGAACTACTGGCCAGTCAGTCTCACCTCTGTGCCCAGCAAGATCATGGAGCAGATCCTCCTGGAAACTGTGCTAAGGCACATGGAAAACAAGGAGGTGATTGGTGACAGCCAACATGGCTTCACCAAGGGCAAACTGTGCCTGACAAATTCGGTGGCCTTCTGCGACGGGGTTACAGTGTTGGTGGATAAGGGAACAGCAACAGACGCCAGCTACCTAGACTTGTGCAAAGCGTTTGACACTGTCCCAGACAACATCCTTGTCTCTAAAGCAGCGACACGTGGATTTGATGGATTGACCACTCGGTGGATAAGGAACTGGCTAGATGGTCGCACTCAAAGAGTTGTGGTCAACGGCTCAATGTCCAAGTAGAGACCAGTGACGAGTGGCGTTCCTCAGGGATCAGTATTGGGACCGGCGCTGTTTAACACCCTTGTTGGTGACACAGACAGTGGGATTGAGTGCAACCTCAGCAAGTTTGCCGACGACACCAAGCTGCGTGGTGCAGTCGACGTGCTTGAGCAAAGGGATGCCATCCAGAGCAACCTCAACAGGCTTGAGAGGTGGGCTCGTGCGAACCTCACGAGGTTCGACAAGGCCAGGTGCAAGGCCCTGCACGTGGCTTGGGACAATCCCAAGCACCAATACAGGCTGGGCGATGAGTGGATTGAGAGCAGCCCTGAGGAGAAGGACTTGGGGGTTTTGGTTCATGAGAAGCTCAACGTGACCCAACAATGTGCATTTGCAGCCCAGAAAGCCAACCATATCCCGGGCTGCATCAAAAGAAGCGTGATCAGCAGGTCGAGGGAGGTGATTCTCCCCCTCTACTCCGCTCTATTCTCACTACTCCATGTGAGACACCACCTGGAGTACCGCGTTCAGCTCTGGAACCCCCAACGTAAGAAGGACATGGACCTCTTGGAGCGAGTCCAGAGGAGGGCCACGAAGATGATGAGAGGGCTGGAGCACCTCCCTTATGAAGACAGGCTGAGGGAGTTGGGGTTGTTCAGCCTGAAGAAGAGAAGGCTCCGGGGAGACCGTATAGCAGCCTTCCAGTACCTAAAGGGGTCTATAAGAAAGCTGGAGGGGGCCTTCTTCCAAGGGCCTGTAGTGATAGGACAAGTGGTAATGGCTTTAAACTGAAAGACGGCAGATTTGAATTAGATACAAGGAAGAAGTTCTTCGCTGTGAAGGTGGTGAGGCACTGGAACAGGTTGCCCAGAGAAGCTGTGGATGCCCCATCCCTGGCAGTGTTCAAGGCCAGGTTGGACGGGGCTTGGAGCAAGCTGGTCTGGTGGCAGGTGTCCCTGCCCATGGCAGGGGGGGTGGAACTAGATGATCTTTCAGGTCCCTCCCAACCCATCCTATGATTCTGTAAAATTCCAGAATGTTGGGTTCAAACTACTAGATAACGAGCCGTATTTACATACCGCTTTGCAACACACGTACAATTCATACGAAGTTACACAACCAGGCTTTTCAAAATGAATACACGTCTAGAGTATGGTGCTATTTCTTTGGAGTAGATCTACTCATTACCAGTCTGAGGAGGTACCAGTGCCTAGGAACACGCCCTACAACTAGACAACTGAAAACGTACTTGTAGATGCTGAAATGTCTCGGGAAACGCTGTTCTTCATAACTCATTCTCAGCAACTACAACGAGGGGAGTTTCCAGCAATTCAGCGGCAAGATGGCAAATGCGACCCAAGAGCTGGCAGCTGGACTTGTAAGCTGAAGAGCCCACCAAGGCTCGCGAGGACCCACGGGGCACACGAGCCGGCGTTTCGGAGATGGTAAGCCTGTCGGGGTGCTGAGCACAGCCCTGGGCTCGCAACCTGGGGCCCGAATGCTGGGAAGGAGCCGCACGAGGCCTCACTGCGGGCACGGCCCAGCCGGCACAGCATCACCCCAGCTCCTGTGCCCCACGGGAGAGCCCTCCTGTGCCTCTCTGGCAGTGGCCCTCCTCATACTGCGCGATCACTGGGTATGTCATCTGTTTGTGTTTCTCTCGATTTCTGCACAAAGTACCATAAAAATGAACTGGGAGTATGATCCATTTAGAATAAGAGCTTTCTATTTTCAGGTTGAAGGTTTCACACTTCAAAAAAAGAAAAATTGAGAATACATACACCCCCTCACCGCAGGTGCCTGAAAGGGAAAATACTTTTTATGCTCTCTATAAAAATAACTGTCTGCTTGTAATGAAATGTCGTATTTCCTACATAATATAGAACAATATAGGTTTATACAGTAATCTTCAGTGAAACATCGCTTCACACTTGAATGATAATGCAATCTCAGCAAAATAAATAAATAAATAAACATAGATACGACTTTCACATGCCCTTCTATGTGATTATATTTTCTTAATTTGAAATACTGACTGTCTGGAGAGGGTTTTTAAACATACCAAAGTGTTTCTAAAATTAAACAAGCAAGAAAAGCAAGCATACACAGTTATTTGAAAGTACAACAGATACAAATCATCTCAGAGCACCAAGTCAAGGCAACTTTCCACCTTCAGCAAAACAGAGAAGCAGAAGACACGCCTATGTCAGAGTGAGAGCGTATTTGTTGCTTGATTTTAATTACTTTTTTTCAGACCGCAGGTCCAAGGAAGAACGACCAAACACAAAGCAATGGTGCAGTTTCCCAGGACAGCC